GACAAAATTCAAGAATTTAAAACTGGGTAGTTTCTCCAATACATAAGCTGAGAATAAGTTTCACAAGTGACTCATTAATGGTCTCTGAGCTCTGAATACTAAACAATGAACATCTATTTTGCAATAACCGGATAGTCTCAAAACAACTTGGCTGCAGATAGTCATCCCAAAAATATTTGCCTGTGTAGGACAATAAACCAAGTATATCTGAGTCTGACATCAATCTTCTCTCTCATCGCTTTTGAAATCAAAAACGCTTACTCACAGCAGCTTTTCATGGCAATCACATGGTTATGAAATGGGATATTTAAAAAACAGCGTTCTGAAACAGTGGCTGCATCCATATCTGAGGTGAAGTCAGATGATCGGCAAGGAGGTGAAGCGGGGTTTGGGGTAGGCACAAATACCGCAAAATATCAAACACCTGGGATGCTTGCTCAAAACACAAATTCAGTGGTGGAAGAAAAACTCTTTTAAAGTAAAGGAAGGTCTTTGGAAAGTGTCCATTAAACCATAAGACAAGTGATTTGTCAGCATAGAATCTGTACTGACATCTGCTTCATTCCTGAGTCCAAACAAACAATCTCCATCTGGAAAAATACTAGACAGAGAATAACTCAGACTAGCACATGACTTACTGATAAGTTTTCAATATGAAACTAAAAGGTTTCATCTTGCACGCAGTGTGAGTGCTGCCTTGCCACACCGTGCCGCCTCTTGCTCTTCCACCACAGCTTTGAATGAAGTTGTAGAGCTGTTCTTTTAGCAAGCAGAAACATATGCTCCCAAAAGTCATCAGAGACCACAACAGCAGTAACAATTTTGCAGTAATTGAGTTTTTAGAGACAATACAAACTAAAAGCTGACCCATTAGCTGCACAAACACATGTTTTGAAAATACACTGCACAACCTCAGTCATGCTTGACCCACTTCTGTGATACAGGAATAATAAACACACTGAAAACACAACTCTCGGAGCCTTGACTTGCTGACCGAAGTGAATTAGAAATAGTTCAGCTCATACAGCACCACAAAACAGATGTGTGCTGTCATTCATGTTTTCTCAATAAATCACTACAGTTTATTGTTTAGATTTTATTTTGTCTGCCTCTGTAGGGGTATGGCAAAATCACAGCAAGTAAAGCCATGGGCAGGAAGCACTACTTCTCTGCCAAAGGGGACACAGATAATAATATTTTGAAGCTGTGATGATTTATAACAGGCAGGAGAGGGAACTAATGAAGACTGTCCCATGGAGGCTGACAAGAGAGAGAGACCAGCTGTGACCCTGTAAAGCCAGGTCAGTATATTGTGGCGATCTTACAGGTATGAAAAAGAAGTTGGAGACAGCTATCATGGCTTTTAACAGCTATTTCTGTGTCCCATACACCACACATCCCTTCGAAAGCTGCTTTATTATCATCAACATGTAACACACGCGTATGAACCCTGGCCGAAGCCCATTTATTTCCACAGGAGTCACAGTAATAGTGAACTGTACCCAGCTATCCTGGCCCAGTTCTCAGCCACACACTTCCTAGTATTATAAGAGTAATTACTATAACAGACAGCATAGCTGCAGCAAGGTTAACTATTAAATGAGTAGTTAACAATCGCATAAGTCCTTGGACCAACAGCACTACTTCAAAGTCCAGCAATTGCTCCTCTAGGGATCACTGCAGTACATACACTGTGAGTGGATACTCTCACGCAGTTTGTCCACAATGTTTCAAATAGTCAATAGATTCAGGTACATGTGTGCATTCTTTTACTGATTGTTCTACAACTGATGAGTGCCTCTGAGTGACCTTAAAAGCTGAAAATATGAACCTGTCAGGGGTTAGCACTGCTTCCTCTTCTAAGAGCTTTTATTTTGTTAGACTTCCTGTCCTGTGTCACCTCAGCTTTACCTCGGTACACATTCACCGTTCATTGTTTTCACCTGTCCTCATTATCTCCCAGTGTACAGGCCCTAAATACGTACCTCCTCCTTTCCCTTAGTCTCTTGTTGGTCCATTGATGTTTCTAACATTATTGATTAAACTGATACAACTCATTAAGACCATTTTGTTCCTGCCTGCTGTGTGAGTCTCTTTCAGTCCTGTGTCTGCTACTCACCTGTATTCCTTGTTTCCTGCCTGCTGTGTGTTCCTGTTCAGCCAGCAACCCACCTGTCTCCTTTACCTTACCTTACCTGCTGAGCCTCCAGCTATACTGGCCATGTCTCCTGTTCAGCTACCCTGCTGTGTGTCCTGAACTGCCAGAGTCACAGTTGACTCTCTAGTCCCAATCTACTTACCTCTATGCTGTCGGCTCCTCCTGCCACCTTTGACTCAACCTGGTCCTCGGCTGCAACGACTCCCCTCTTGCGGCACTACTCACCACAGTCTGGCTTTGGTTCTGTCTCTACTCCCTGGTGCAGCCTCCGCTCCACTCTGCCCGTCTCTGTCTACCATCTCCAGAGAGCCCTGCCTGCTTCTGCCTATCGCCTTCGGTAGGTCCTGCCCGCCTGACTCACCTGAGCGCTCCCAGCACCACTGCTACACTTTTGTTCTATGTACTCTTGTCAGTTAAAAGACTTTTGAAGTTTTCTGCCAGGTCCTAGTGTGCATTTTTGGGTTCTAAACCAGTAGGCATAACAGAACCAGTGAGTAGTCTCTGTGCCTGTGTCAATCTGTGATAGGTGCTGATGTTATCTAGAGGCTTAAAGTTGCTACAAGCAAGTTTTTCTCAGTAACAAAAGCTCAATGACCATGTGTATGTGAAAGTGTTTGACAGCCAAGAATATAGTTTTAGTTCAGTCTCACTGCTTTTCTTCCAAATGCAGTAGGCAAGTTAACACAAAGGTCAAAATTAACTCTTTTTAGGCCACGTGCCTGGCCAAAACAAGTTTAACAAATAAAAGTCTACATGCTAGTGAAGAAAGGGGAGCATCAATGTTGCTGTGTAAAACAACAAAAGCCATTCATTGTATCAGGTTTATAAGGTGATGTGTTCATACTGAGTTTCTGGCCTATTGCCCCCAGGGGCCCCCAAACCAATGAATGCAGGTTTAAAAGCAGTTTAATTTTATTTTACAGGGACACATGCAACTAAACATGTTTCACTCAGTGAACCAATGCAGTGCATGTGGGGCATCTAGCTAAGACCTCATTTGCAGCTCCCGTTCCTGGTTAGTCTTTAAAAAAAAAAAAAAAAACAATTCAAACATCCAAGAACAAATAAAACCAATTGTGACAAACTGGCCCAAGTTCTTCAGTGTACACATCCTTAAGTTACTTTTCAAATTGGCAGAAATGACTGAATTCTGATGGTGATTTGAAATCTGTTGGAAAAGTGTTTGTAGTTGGGAGCCTTTTACTTGGAAACATGAGAAACGTGTTCTGCACCTTTGAACTCTGGAGTTCCCTTTTATTACCCCTCTAGTCTTGATACCTTTGTATGAATTAAGAACACCATAAGGTAAGAAACAAGCTTTGCTAGTAACATTTGGCAGTTTTGGGTGGATCACTGAAAGACCTGCTAAGATCAAACATGCTTTGGAAAAAGTAGAGCACAAAACAATAAATCCCGCACAGCTTTGATTATTTGCAGGAACTTTGAATAAACTTTAAATGCTGCAACAGATACCAATCTCCACTGCACAGGATCCCTGTGTTTTTAATTGTACATTAAATGAAAAAACTTGCAGCTGTAAGGCCTGAAGTACATGTCTGACCTTGCTAGTGAATGAATGACTCTTGGTTGTCCTTGTCACACAGTAACTAAATGCAAATACAATAAACACCCGCAAGCTAGGGCTCTGGGGTTTGTAGTTTTATTGTGTTTACCTAAGATAGAAATTCCTGGTCATGCACAGTACGGTCTAATGATTTTTTTAGATTTTGCAGGCTCATGACTATAAGTTGGAGGGCAGCATCAGTCATGCAATAAGTAAAACAAACAACTGAAGCTGTAAAAACGGGTCAAACAAGTGCTGCAGTGGATGTGAATAGAGGACAAAGTACAGTGGTGGCCATGGTGAGCAGCCAAGCCTGGACTTCTTTAAACTTTCTTCCTTCCTGGCCTCTATAAAGCTATTATTTATCTGGCATGCCTGAACAGATATGAGTCTGACTAGGTTCCCATATAAAGAAGAAAGGTAAACTGAATAGATAGCAAGCTGAACACTGTGGGGAATTGAGGAATAAGTATATTTCAGTTGATCAAGAATGTGTGCCAGGCATGCTAAATCTTTATCTGCATTTAGCTGACAATGTTTGTAACAGCAGCAACTACAGTAATAAATCAAAGTTTAAAGGAACCAAATCATCCTCGAAGCCCGTCGTTACAGTCTAACATGTTCCCAGATCGGGGCTCGCTCAGTGTAATTAATTTCTGTTGTGACTGGGATTAGCCCTGTCTTCTCCAGTCAGTAAGACCATGTGGTCTGAATTTTTTTTTTTTTTTTAAGGAGCCAAACATCAAACTTGAAAAATCCATCTTATGCACTTGCAGTCTAATAATTTATACACAAACAGTCCCCACTCACTGAAGAATGCGCGCTATCCGCATCAACTGAGTCTTCACCAAAGGATTTAAAGAAGCAAAACAAAAGACAATGTGCCTCTCTCTCTCTCTCTCTCACTTGCTCTTTGTCAGCATGCACACACTTAAAGCTTGAGATGCTGTGGGCTGTTGATGTGAAACAGCCTGACCAACTGTGCCCAGGGCAACAAAAAGGGCTGAAGAGCACAGTGACGTGAGCTTTATGCTGCCTTTGTATGCCACAGAGAGAAGGTTTCCTTAAAAAAGTCTATCAATATCATACAGTATGAAATATATTCTTTTTGATTAGTTTTGTGTGCAAACAGCTTACAACACAATTTGCAAAGCTACAAAGAAAAAACAGTCACTTCTCCAGAGCAGACACTTTCAGCTACTAGGCCAACTTTAACTCTCCTGCCAGAAAGTTACAATAGGCAATGTCAACAATGAGTAAAACTTAATGTTACATTACCATCTTTGCAGGAGTTTCTCCTCTATCAGGCAGAAAGTTTTCATTTTTGGTCCTGATTATCCTCTCCAGAGAGCCTCCCTGGGCTCTGTGCTTGTATTGAGACACTCAGCATGTTTAGTGCATCAACAACAGAAGCTGGCTGGAGCACCTCCACGTGACAGTGATTGGTTTGGATTGAAAAGTAACTAAAGTCATTTCCATTCTTCATAAATTTTCCATAGGTCTGAGTGTGTAGCGTAGAAAGCAGCAAACTGTGAATCTGCCTGTTGATCCTCCTCTTTCACTTCACTCCTTGGCTAATCAGTGTCTGCAGAGTGAGAGAGAAGGAAGGAGGAAGGG